GCGTGAAGCAGCTCGACGATTTAAGATTACTTAACAGCACCACTAACATGTTCATTTGTTTGAAAATCCTACAAGGCCTCTCTTTTAACTCTTTTTTCCTTCGCTACGCCATTCTTCGTCCTTTGTTCGCTGATATTGAATTTGTTCGCGCTACCGTGCATTTTTAAACGATATATGTGGATGTGGCGTGGAAAACGGTTTTCTTTTTACAGTCGGGAGCAGTAACTTATTTTGAATAGATTTAGAACCACGAATAAAGTAAAGGGGTATGTTGTATTGGAACTTGGTTTTTGCATCTTGGCATGAGAAATACTCTACCTTTACATCGAATGAGCAGGTTTCCTATTTTTGAAAGACAACTGAAATGATAGTATAAGTAAAGTGAAGTACAGCACTAAAATCGAATATCGCTAGTTATGCTATCCAGAAGTTTCTTATTTGGAGATTACACCAGGCTCTATCACTGCCACAGACCGATGCACCCAACGCGTATGCTTTGCGCTATTTATAAACGTTGTTCTGCTCTGTTTTTACGATTTACGGTAAAAATGGCTGAGACCTTTGACTTGAAAATATTGTATTGTTCCTAGGTGGACAATCATATAAGCCCCAGAAAAGCATTTTTTCTCTGTGCCAAAACATGCAAGAATTAGAATTGTCTCTTTCGGAAATATTATCATTGTACTGATGTGTATCGCATTTTGATGTAAGTACTTAGGTTAATATGGAATGCATGATCATTATAATTATTATTAGTGTGTGATGTGCATGATTATAACAATGGAGAAAGAACCTAACTGGTGCACACAGGAACGGGGATGGATTTTATGATTGCCTTTATTTCGAGGTAATGTGAATATTGTTATAATGATCATGCTGTGAGTGGAGGGAGAATACTCATTGAACTTTGTCTGTGTCGACATGGAGATACATAGGCGTGGCACAGGATCCAAAACCCTGGGCAAAAGTCCAAAATAAAGTGTACAACCGAATAGTATCACGTTACAAAATGAACAGCTGCATTGATATGTGGCAAAATGGATTGCGAAGTCGAATGTATGTAGTTATTATCGTATGGCATTGTATTACTTGTTAATCGACACATGACACTATACAACATTATGAAATTGATATTTTTCTCCCTAATTCATGGTGAATTTGTGTATTCAAAAAGAATTTAAAAAAGCCAATTTCGAATAGAAACATGTTTTACATGCATCCATCTAATAAATATGTCAATTTTGGCTGCAGCGGTCTGCAACTTTCGCAATTATGCGACACTATACAATAATATTCGTACATAAATTATACATATAAAACTATAATTGGACCACAATCGACGGGAATGGATATTCACCTCGTTATTAGTGACATTAAAAACATCTGAAAATTAAACTGAAACATAGCTGCCACATTAGATCCGCTACTCTGACTTTTGAACTATCAATATCAAATTTCCATTCTTCAATATCTATAATAACTCACAGCAGTCTCCATGCCAAAATACATAAAATATATTCCCTATTGTATTTTAGGTTTTTATGCTTAATTTGTGATACCCATCTTTTTTATTGACTTTTGATACTCGGAAAATTCGATTATTTTTATCTTCTATAATCAGTTTTTTATAAATTGATTAGTATTGGAAAAAACTCCCTTTAATAGATTGTTTTCACTCATTGTCACATCCCTAATGGGACTGTGTCGTTTCATGACACCGAGAAACCAATAGAGACCAAAACGACAAAGTACGAAGAAGAGTGTCGATTGGTGACAGTGCTTGACTAATTTTGCCGCAATGGAGGTTACCCTCCCCCTTTCAGAAGATGATAGGCATTTTCCATTGTTTTAAAGTCCCTGTTTGATTGGTTGCCTATGATGATTGTACCTGATAATTTTTCGGGTCAATGGAGTCAAATTTCCGCATCTGAAAACAATTTGAGAAAGGTTGAGTGACTTCAAGTGATTATATTTCCTCATGACTAGCGTTTTTCTGTCTAATATTGAAAACAGTTTCCTGAAATTGAGTCATCAGTTTGTAGTTTTATATAACGCTAAGCAAAAACCTTCGAAAGTAGAATTTGATAAAAAGCTGAGCTTGTTGATCCGTTCATCAGTGAAACATTATAATATTTATCAGGCGTGAAGAAAGTCATTGACGTGCATCTGTATCCAGAAACAATGTTAACTTGCCTGGTCTTGATCTTGGTCTTGCAACATAGCAGAGGTCCTGCAAAATTATTGAAGTCTTGGTCTATTGTTTATCTTTGTTTCGAAGATTGTCATTTTTTTATTCTTTGTAATAATTAAAAAACACAATTTATGTAAAATTTTGTGTATTTTGTCTTTTTGACATATATCTATCACAGTTAAACAGTAATCTTATATTAATATTTTTAGAATCTTTTACGATAGCCTAAACAATTTTAAGTAGAAATATAAATACTAGTTAGTATACTATTGAAAAAACAAATTATGTAGTTGTATTCGTAGAGAACGTAAGAAACCTAATAGTTTAAAAGGACCTGTTTAAATCCAATATGCTCATGTAGAATTTGAAATTTAATTTTTGATGTCATAAGACATCTTGATAGACTAACCATTTCTGCTTCCATTTAAAAAAAATTAATTTAGAATTTGTCAAGTGTCAATATTTTGAGCAGGTAGTTTTTTTCAAGATCGCAAGAGAATCTTTCAATAACTCTAGCCGAACTTGTAACATATGATATAATGCTTGCAACGAGAGCAACTTTTCATAATAAATAGAAATTAATGCATACGAGTATAAAATTCATACCTTGATTTTTATCCCGAAAACCAATAGAACGTGACCATACATGTCAATCAGGAGATATGTTCTGTGTAAAACCATAAATTATTTAGCCGCCCTGGGATTCCGGTTTAATCTTTAAATTTGCATATATAGCATGATTTTATGTACAACTTTGAGGACTTTTCCTCCGGAAAAATTTGCTGCCCCCTAAAGTTTTGGGGGTAAGCAAACTTCACAAAAACTTATCTCTTACTGAAGATCGCCCCCGTCATGAGAAAAATTCCTGATGATTATTCAGTAGACATACGTAGCCTTTTAGTAAAATTGTGCCAAAAGGAACCCCCCTTGTGCTGCCAATGAACGAAAAAAACCATCATGCTGTCTTCAAACACCGACCAATGTATTCGGACACAACAACATCAAAGTCGGCCGATACAAAGAAAACAAGCGAAGCCTGTAACCAAGGCTAATCGATTAATTTCAAGAGGGTAATTGAACAACGTAATCTAGAGTCGGCAGGTAGACCAATTTGGAACTTAGGAGCACAGTCATCCTAATTATCTATTATTGCTTTCTTTTTTTCTCCGTCCGCGTCATGATTATCGCTGGATATCTTGATAATGGAACGACTGGTAGCAATGAGAGGGCACTAACATCATGTAGGCAGGTTGGGACGCGAATTTGAGGCTATGAATGAATTTAAGTGCCTTTGCCTTAGAGTTTAAAGATATATACTGACGAGGAAAAAACTTAATTGGAGGAATAAAAAGTATTTTATACTGTTGCATTTAGGAATGGGAGGCAACGACAGATCTTACAATTCTGATATTGAAAATTGTCCAAATGAAGTATAATTTAAAGCAAAGCCGAAATTTGCTGACAAATTTCTAGTCTACATGCGCGATTTCTGAGGGTGGGGTAGACCCTAAGTCGGTAGACTTCGAGAAGCTGTATACGCCGAACTTTATATCCAAAGATGATTACCAAAACTGCTTAACTTTATTAACATCCATCATCAGAACAACGATATAGTATTTTGGCCTGACCTCGCTTAGTATCATTATGCCAGGAGAACTTGGGAAAATAACGATAATCATGTACCACAAGCTCGACCAATCGACGAATTTTGGACGCTACTGTGTCGAAAAGCTTATGACAAACGATGGGAAACCCAAAATAAACAACAGTTGCTAGCGCGCATTTTTAAAAAAAAATCCGCGGAGTGGACAAGGGCATCGTCCAACTGGATATTAGACAAGTCTTAACCAAAATGGATGATATTGAGGATCATGGTCCACTCATCACTTAATTTATGACGTTGTATATCTCTTGGCCCCCTCAATTCACCCCTGTTGTAAAATCCGTTCTGAGTTGACATAACATGTCCATAGAATACTTCCTGCTAGATTTCATCTTCATAAGTCCAATAGTTCTATAAACTTAACTTGAAAGGAAATAAGGTTCCCCTGCTACTCTATCTTAAGGATATACATTCTAAAATTCTTTCTTTATTGATGTTTATATTTATTATTTAAAAGATGAAATTAATGACAAATATACTCCTACTTCTAGGTTGGCCTGATTTGAAATATTCAAGGTGCTTCAGCTTCAAGAATGTTAACCACCACTTTACCTCTTCGGTCCGGTTTTTCAGTCGCAGGTTAACTAGGACCTACTTTTTAACTTATAGTTATCTATGACAAAGCGTTTTTCAATATCATGTTTATAATAAAACGGTATTTAACTTTAACCAGAAGACCATCTATGAGTTAATTAGAAAGGCTGTAGTTGAATACCAATACCCGATGTTAGGGGTATAATTTTAAAAATTTCTTTCACTTCCATATTGAAATGGTTCTTTGATAATATGATGAAAATCATATAAAAATATAAAAACCCCTTATTTCAATCCCTAAAATTTTATTTTCGGAATAGAAGGAGGCCCATGTCCGTCTCCAAGGTCTAATCTATATCTGTCTCAAAATTTGTCAAAATTGGTTCAGCCGGTTTGGCCTGATAAGGGAACATCAAACATACAGACCCACTTCCGCACTTATAATATGAAAAACCATATAAATATTTAATTTATAAAAACTCAATTCAAAATTATTCTCGCATACTTGTTCCATTTCGAAATAATACTTTTATACCTCAAGCATGCGTAGAAAGGGTCAAAACACCCATTAAAATATGCCATTCGTCTTTATTCAGTACTTTCTCAATTCAGACACACCAAGTCGCAAGGGAGACGAAGGACATAAAAACAGCCATTTCAAACATTCCTGGAGCAAACTGGAAGTTTAATTATTATTCAAAGGGTCCAAGGTGAGACCATTGAGCCGAACAAGGATTTCTGAGCGTAATTGGGGATTTTGGAGTAATGATATTTGCGAAGTTAGGGTTATTTTATGGCATTTTAAATATACTTCGGGGTACCGCGATTAAATTACCGACATTTTATTGAGTTTGCGAGATTTTCTGTACTTCTGCCTCAGTGGAAATTCCCTTTCGTTGCCTGGGGGATAATTATGAATGCCCTTAAGTCATCTAACATAATGAAATCATTATATTATACATCGTTTCCCAACCAAACACTAGGGGCCTGATTCTAAATGAGTTACGACCATTGAAATTGATTCCAGTGGAGTCTTGAGACGATATACTATAATTTATGGCAATATAAAATTATCATGGCGAATCAAGTATAAGTTTACCAGACGCCATCGAAATGAATTTCGGAGGTCGGAACTCATTTCTCATAGAGAATTCAGATTTGGACCTGTTAGCATTGGTCAGTCGTTTTCCCTTTTGGATTGCTATGTGTACTAGAAAGAGTGCGCCATATAACAGACGTCACTGCGTTGCCTGGTCCATACCCATGAATCAAATTCAAGCGAATAACCAAATGAAAATGGTATTTACCATTTTGGATTGGCATTTACCGATCCGTTCAAGCGAGTGTGGTTATCAGTTTGGTTATAAGATCCGTGACGTCATGAATCAGCTTTTATATGTCATAGTTATCACCGCAAAATTGTGACCAGTTAGAATTTTGCCGGGTATTGGATATTTTTATTGTACTTCAGCTTCATTTTTGGGAAACTTGGTACTGGCTGACTCCAGTTGTAGCATAAAGTAGAGCACCTTATTAGTTATAACCATTACTGTTGTTGGGGACACTTTAAATCTAGTTCCTATGCTTAACAAAGTATCATGTGTATACATATACCACAAGAATATTAAAATATGGCCATATAAACTCACTGGATGATGTCCACTTGTATGCGGTTTTGCTTTTTTTCATCGCTTTTTCGTATCATTTCTGGTAAATAAATAAATGTTTTCTTTGAAATACGGAAAAGTTTAGAGAATTGAAAGTTATCATAGCTACAAAGCCATGGTTCCAAAAATTTTTTTCTGAAAAAAAATCTCCCATTAATATTATGAAAGGTTTCTTTTTTAAACTTTCCATAGACTGTTGTAGACGAAAAAGCACCGACTATTAGGTGATAATAAAAATAGTCAGAAATTATATACGAGCTTTTCTAAAATAAACAACTTGCAACAAAACCGCGGTTAAAACCAACGCGTTCAAGCGATTCGAGTAACTGTCATCAACCCGTGTGTCATCTTGAACCATATTATACCGCGGTACATAACACAGAAATTTTGGTTATTCGCTTGGATTTGATTAAAGAAATCTAAAAAGATACACGACTTTGACCAGCGCTGTACAAGGAGGTACCCAAAAATAACCGGAATAGCATTGCAGTGGGCGGAGCTTGTGTAGCACACATTTCTGCCCCTAGAGGCGTACAGCGCAACTCATTACCAGTTCAGTGCCACCTAAGTTGTCGATCTGGCTTGTTTCGTTCCTCTGTAGTAATTATTTTTGCTAGAGCTGTTTCGTGCTTGTTTCGTTTATTACGATGGCAAGCTTTGCATTGCATTGATGCAGATGGAACAGGCCACACTATCCACGCGTGTCTGATTGAACCTGTAAATCGTGTGAATATTGGGTACAAAAGTCCTGCACTATTTTGTTAATTGGCTAGATTCAACGAAAAAGTTTTGACTAGTTGCAAGTGCAACGTCAGCCAAGTTTCCGAAGGCATGGCAGTTGCTAAAACAAATTAAAAGTTCATTAAACTACTTAAATATTCATTTCCAGTTGCCAGTTGCACCATATTACTGTTTTGCTCTTTCTCCGGCTTTAACACTACGACCTAAAAACTTTTCGAACGAAGAAAACTATTTGCTACTTTATTTCAGATGGCGTAGTTTTTAAACACAGAGTTGCGGGTTGATTATTCATCCGAAACCAATTTTAAATTATGTCTTTTCATTTTTATTAAGGCTCGTCACTGTGCAAAAAATTGTCCACTGGCAAGATGCATACAGTAGGGTACCGTTAGACGTGAAAATACGAAAAACCTAGAACCCAGGTACACTGAATCGATTTTTGGAAATTTTAGTGGAATGTGTTTAATATTAAAAATTTTATCTATTAATTTTGTGTGATTTCCAACTGATTTAATTTTATTTTCTACGTACATACAATTATTCAGATCCATATTATCCCAGATAGTAAATCTCATTAAACTGAATAAAAACGTCCGCGTAAGCTTATGTACTTTACGGCAGTACTGAGATGCAAGGTGTTCAAGTTCATTTCAACCAAGGCATATATATGTACATTTTTATAGTTTCTCTTAAGTTACTTGAGTGATTTAGGTGAAACTATTTGAATCGATAGCGGACATTGAGCGATTCAATCTTTACTGGTTAATGCGACTCAATTATCCATAGGCGGCGCTATCACATTTTCGTGATTTATCTCGACGCGCCACTGGTTTCTTTGTCAGTCAATAATAAACTAGTGCACAGAATTAATAGCTGCTGAAACTCGAGGGACTTTCACCAAAAACAATACATTCCCCTGTTTGCAAGCACAGAGTTCAAGAGTTAACAACTTAAAAAAAATTGCCAATCAATTAAACATTCATCAAGATATGATAAAAACAACAAAACCACAGTCTTTGATTGAAGCATACCTACTATACTCATACGGGAATATATTTGTCTTCATACGGATCAAAATCTGCGAGTTGTTCTCTTTCACAAGACCGATGAATAAATTTAGAGGGATCTAGGAACACCTTAGATCTTTCAGTTTACTTGTGAATTTCAAATTCAATTGACTTGTTTAATAGTTGCATACTGCTTATCAATAGGTAAACGGAAAATTTTGTTCGTCTAAGGGCCGTATTGTCAGCTGTTCCTACAATTGTAGGACGCCTTTATGACCTCCTTGATTTTCATAGGCTTTTCTCTCGTTCAGAAAGGCTGGAGAAAAGCATGCGAATAGATATTTGTAACATAACCTCAAAATAGATCGCTAACACGGAACAGTAGGAAACTATGAAATTCAAGGAGGCCATAAAGACGTCCTACAATTGATTACCATACTATTTTCTTCCCTTCAGAAAGGATGAGGTATTTCTAGATTTCTACTGTTTCGTGTCAGCTTCAGCCTTCAGCGCTCTCCTATTGTGGTAGGCTATGTTTTCTTTTCAAATTGTAGAAAATTTCAGGCTGACATAACAAATGATATAAATCAAAAGCATGAATAAATTGATGCAATTAGATATTTGTAACATAACTTCAAAATAGAGCGCTGACACGGATTAGTAGAACCTATGAAAATCAAGGAGGCGATAAAGGCGTCCTACAGTTGTAGGAACGACTGACGATACGGCCCTTAAAGACCCTTGATCATACCCACAAAGAAACGTGTTTAAAATTTGTTAAGGCCGCCCCTGGTGTTAGTTGTATATAACGAGTACAAATTAAGTACCTCAATACCTACCATCGATTCATCTAAATTATTCAAGTAATTTAAGGGAAACTAAAAATATCAATATTAGAAGAGATTAACTTGAACACCACCTCATTTTTCATTAAGGAAGTATAACTTTTTTTATATTATATACCTAAATTTGTTTCTTGAGCCACGATTGCGTATTACTTCGCTGAGGATTGGGAAATCGTGGATCCATGGATCTACAAGGCAAACAAATCCGTGCAAAATTGCGGAGAAGACGAGTCTAGTTCTTTCTCCTGAAACACGCAGGTGGAGACAAAGACAGCTAAATCAATCGGGCAGTTTACAACTTATTATTCTGCTGTTTTTCTGTGTTCGATGACTCTGGATGCATGTCTACCCATCTACAACTGATGTAAAGATGTGAAGATGGGGCAGCGAAGATGTTTTGTGGAGATGGATGCGACATTAGAAAGGAAAAAGCTGCGAAAGATAAAATTGTTATTTAGCAGTCGTAGAATAAAATACCCCAAAAATATCCAACGTTTTATTTTGGCCTCAAATCAACCTGAATACTTTATTCCCCAAAAATTCCCCAAAGGACGTAAAAATCCCCCAATATGGCAACCCTCATGGGGAGTCAAGTCATGGGAGAATGGAAAACAAGACGGTGTAGCCGGATCACAACCTGACAACACAGTGGCAAAATAGAGATTACCTGCTGCTATTATTATCTCCAGGAAATACATCTAGACAATTTAATGCTGTCGAATAATAGCTAATGAGAGTGTATGTAAAATTGAGTTATTCGAAGATCTTGTCTATGATATCGCCATGCTCATATTCTGTGGTTGAAATGAAAAACTCACTACAGTTACTGTGTTTCAAGCTCAAATATAATATGTAGCATGAAGGCTTTTGCAGCATATTTTACAGTTTGCAAAGAAGCTTATGAGAATGAACGGAAAGCCAGATACTCTGATAAATTGTAGTCAACATCCTTGAGTTATATAAAATCTTGCGCAATCTGTGGTATATTTTAGTGAGTATGAATATTATGGCAATCTGAATCAGATGAATATGTTCTCAAGTATACATTACTTTTTTGGCTGCTCCCAAAAATTCAAATATCTTTAGGAGATATGGATGATTATATGATGGCGTGTTGTATTGACGCTGCCGTATTAACATATAAGCGAGTACTTATTTGCCAGAATAGCAAAACCGTGTCCATAACTCATGGCGATGTAAAAACTTCCATATGTGAGTAGAAATGTGTACTGTAAGTTTATAACAGCCTCAGATTTACGCAAGGAGCGTTACATGTGACTTCATGCACAATCTGGCAACCATGTTGACATCAAAAATATATGTCTGCTTGACATTGCTATAAGTCGATCGAGTTGCACTTTGGATTACACAGGACTGTATCTTCTTTAGTGATATGTTTTGTGGCCGCGTACCAGGACCGGACTCGCCCTCGATAGCAGGAATATCGCGC